GAAAGGTTACTAACTGTCAGTCTGGTTAAACTTATAGTAGGAGACGCTACGCTCCGTTCGAAGAAAGTTAAATCCTTACGAGTCAAGTGTCATTCCGCTTTCCCGTGACATTTGCCTCGACATGGTTCACCATCTGGTACACGGAGCTTATCCAGCAGAACAACTTTGTTGATATACTCTTTGTCATGTTGATCCTGCCCAATGCGGTAGCGTTAGCGTTGATTATCGGTTTTTCAATGGCTTAAATATTGACTTACCAGATCAATTTGCAATGGCTCAAAGAAATCGTCTTGCACCAGTTGCAGTGTTTCGAGTTCGACTTGCGTATGTTGCCGTGGTTCAAGAGATTCATCTTGCACCTGCTGTAGTGAGGATCTCGCGGTGCGAGTACGCTTTGCCTACTCGTAGAGAAAACGAATATTAGTGTCAGAAGTGGGAAAATAGTACCATCCGTAACTCGAGGAACTCACATTCGTAGTCCGCTCAGTCAAATTGGGGTACTAAAACGATAAGTTCAGTGTAGTCAGAACGGGATGATTGAGAAAAAGTAAACAAATTGCAGTTAGTGAAGTAGAATAGTAATAGTAATTATTCACACTTTAGCTTGTGACTTTGGTGTTTTTGATCCCAGCTTACCAGTTGTGCTTTCTGCGTTCCTTAATAAGTGCTTATAGCTTTATAAAGTATCCGTCATCTTTCACTAATAGTTTTGTGCTAGCTCGTCAGATAAGCATTTTTTTTTGTTGGTCGAAGGAAATAATGAGGACGATTGGAGTGGTAGAACTTAGGAGATTAGATCGCAGTGCACTGCCGCTGGCGTTGGATTGTTTATAGTGTCCTCTAACACGGAGAAGGGTGTCAGAGGCACATACATACACGGAGTGCACAGTTTTGTTAAGTGATTATTAATTTAAACACATTTACCTATATATTGTAGAAAAGATCAGCTTCGCTCACGTTATTTTAACTAATTGGAGTTACAAGGTTTGCATTTGTAAACGCATAAGCCATTTGTATTTTATTATTCCGCCCCCTATACGTCACAAATTCAGTAAAAAAGTTGTTTGAGCCTCCTGCCCCTATAAATAGCCCCTTTTGCTGTTATTATTAATTTGGAAACAACAATAATGTAATGACATTTTATTTTAATAAAACGCGATGTAAAATCGTCGTTACTCGAAGATATATAAATTATTTGCTTTCCACATTAAGACAGAAAAATACATTACAACCTCGCTCCACGAGTATACCTCACGACTCAGAAATCCATTCGGAGTTTGCAAAAATAATTTTGATTAATCTCGTATCATATATATAAAAAGCTCTGTTTGTCTTTTTCATATAATTGAAGCATTCTTTTCGTTCATATTTGGATTTTAGGTGTTTATCTAGTCGTCTAAACGGCTCAAAGCGTATATGTTTAGTAAATCGAAAATGTTCAACTATTGTTGATATTATTCTGGACACTGGGGGTTATATGTATGCACGGTAATGCCTTTATAAGTAGCCCTTTTATTGCCTATAATTGCCTTTACAGTTTGAAGTGTTAGCCATTTCAAGGCACATGTTCAGCAATCAAGTTTCTCCAGTAAATGCAGCTTGTCCCAGAATCAATCTTATTTATTATTGAGTAGGTTAGTAACGTTCACACAGATATAATTTTTATATATCAGCATATTTAACAGAAGCTTCGCGACCAATAATCTTCAAGTTCCTATCCAGCGAATACCCAATCATTGCTGAATGGCAGTACGACAAGGATATAGTATAGCGATGGAGAAATTAAACAGCGCCAAGAACCCGTCATACAACCAACCATTCTTCCAGCTTATGAATGTCCAGATAATTTACAACCGTAAAACTTTCGTACCCGGGTAATATGGCTTATTGTGAAATGCAAAATAATTTATACGGGTCACATGACAAACGGTCCGTTCACCTTGTCCCAAGCGTGCCCCACACCATATATGTTACGCATAAAGTATTAATGCGAACAAATAGACAAATTAGGCACTGACAAAGAGATTGATGAGGAATGGACATGCAAATGGCTCATGATATAATCAATTTGAGACTACAAAACCCTCAACTCTGTAGAACAGTCAACAGCACATGAGAATGGCCCTCTCCGCTCTGCACTCGAATTTTGTTGAATTCTATTATCAAACAGCTTTTTTGTTATGTTTACAATTCCTCTTTCGTAATGTACACAGTTACAGTTAACAAGTGAGAAACAAGGAAATTTTCGATATGCATACACTAGACAACGATCTAGAAACCTCCTGCATATTGATATGCGTTGTTGTTGGACAGCCACCATTAAAATTAAAGTTCCTAATTACTATGAACACGTCGATCGTAGCAGGAAACTTTGTTCCTGAAAGAATTTATTTCTCTTCTTTTTTTTCTTCTTTCTTTAGATTGTCTAATACAATAAACAACGAGACTGAAAGGGGAGGGTTGGATTGAATTTTGTACAAGAAAAAGATTAAATTTTTTAACTATCAAATTCGCTATACAATCTATTTTGCCATTAATAATTAGAATACTAATATCTGTATAAAAGGGAAACTACGTTGACAAAGAGATCTACAATAGATTCTACTTGTACTCAATACCTGTCTCGCAAATTATAAACAATATGGACGCTGGGACAGATATTATATTTCAAAAATAACAGGAAATAGGTCACAGCAAATACACGGACGGGACGGACGCAAGGTACGGGCGGAGTGCCAAATTAAGATGAGTAGGGATGATTGGGTAATACGGTCATAGGGCAGGGCGGTAATAATATCTGCTTCTATGTTTAGTAGCAGAGGGTTCTCTTCTGCGCTTGAATGACGTCCTCTTCACTGTTTTGTCCATGAGCCCGTGAAGCCATGCAGCAGATACAATTGTCTTGTGACTGATGATTCGACAAATACCAATCACCCGCCGGTTCCTTAAATTGATCAGCGCATTTTTGCGGTTGTTGTTGTTGTTGCTGCTGCTGCTGCTGCTGCTGCTGCTGCTGCTGCTGCTGTTGCTGCTGTTGCTGTTGCTGCTGCTGTTGCTGCAGTTGTTGTTTCTGCTGCTGCTGCTGCAGTTGCTGTTGCTGCAATTGCTGTTGCTGTTGCTGTTCTTGCTGCAGTTTTTCTTGTTCCTGTCGTGCTTTTATCATTCTATTCATCTCTCTTCGTATATCGCAACGTAGTTGTAATAACTCTGAGTATTCTTTATACGTCAATTTTGCTGGTTCCATAGAAGTACGATCATATTCATCGCTGCACCAAGTCTCATGAACTTCTAGTTCTCTTGAGAATTGAACGGACTTGTTGAGATGGGGCGTCTCTGATGGGTTAAGGTGGAGATGCTCGTCAGTGTGAGAGGACGAGACTATGTATGGTGCCGCTACTGTAGTCATATTATTGTTATTAAAGAATAAAAGTACTTTATTATAATATTGCCTTTCGTCTTAGTCTGTGATGGAAGCGATCGTAAATAGTTGGGTTGTAGGTGGTGGTAACTTATCAAGTTATGGTTACAGGTACTGTATAGTCGTGTTATTGGTACTAATTTTTCTTAATGTTAATATATTAATTACTAAGTCTCAGACAGATTCCGGTTGATGAATTGTTGGAAGAAACCGTCGGATTAAATGTCGGGTTAATTATCCGGATTAATTATTGGATTTTTTTATTAAATGTTTTAAGTTTTGGAAATATCGACAGTCGTTTCGTTAACCTTGATGGCATATACGTGCAACACGAGTAATCGTAGGAGGGGAACAACACTGGAACTTGTTGCGTTTATATAACATTTTTTCGAGTTAATTATTTCATCAGGCGTGTGACATTTGTGTAACTGATATTGATATAAACAGTTAAGCAACATAAATATAGCGAACAGAAGGTTTATTTATACAACATAATTATGTAAAATCATATATTTAGCAACAAAGACGGCAAATGGTGGCGATAACAACTGGTAGAGATTCTATAACATTAAATACCATAGACCATTCATACATTTCGCTAACGGCCGATATTATGGGTTCAGTATCGATGCGTGTCATTTAATATACATACACCAATATTAACTGCGGTATTAATATTATTATTTGTAATTACGTTTATTAATAACATTGGATAGCCAATAGCTACGAATGAGGTCCCCCACCTTGCGAACGTATTGTACCATCCTAATAAAGGCATATTATTGAATGTGGTGTAATCACATTGCCTAGTCACAATACCCGAGTAATGCCAGTCTATTTATAGTAACGCATATTTATCGTCACCCCATCCCATACCCTACTTTTCATGGGAAAAAAACTTTTCCAACTAACATTTGCGTCACTTGGTCATATGTTCTTAGATTAAAAGATAAGCAATATCACTGTAAAAGTCAATTCGCTATAAAGTCTTGGTGTTTAATGGAAATTTCTCTTCTCGATATACTGTTATCTCAACAAACAAAAAAAGCAAGCTGATTGTGTGTATTTTAATGGGGTTGATTGTTTGATAGATGATTTTGTTGATAAAATGATTCTGGAGTGAGTGAAGATTCAATAATAACCTGCCAAATTTGGATGGCTGAACAATTGGAAAGTAATTTGGTGTATCAAACTATTAAAACATAATATAAATAACGGGAAGATCGTTATCAATCTGTTAGTCCAAAGTGACCTGACCTTAATTAATCATGATTGTAAATGATCTAATACTATATTAACCTATGTATTTTAAATCACATTTGTTCGTCTCATAGACGCACTCTATTGCTTTATGCGACAGGTGCTTGTTCGTCTTTGATATACAAAATCAGCAACTAAAATACAATCCAAAGAATAGCATAGCCACTCACGATTTGTTGCTTTGCTGAAAACAGGAATGGCGTGATACTCAAGTAATACTAAAGGTCACATGTGTCCCACACAATAGTATCGCTGTATGGTGGTATTGTTTCCGCACCCAAAGTGATGTCATATTTATTATCTATTGCCATATTACATTATTACATTATGGAGAAGAATTTAGAGTTGATGATCTACAAACCGTTCTTACATAGCGATTTACTCATCTGCGTCTGTGTATTGCTCATATGATGTGGGGGGTGGGTGTCAAGACGGAAATCTCATGACGCCATAAATAAGCAACAGTGATATCCATATTTATTACTAATGCGTAATAATCTACTGAACATTGATCGGAGTATGGTCTTCTTATCAAACTTCTAACGTTCTTTAATCTAATTATTAAAATGGTATGTCCTGAAAGGAAATCAAATTTGCTATAATAATAATGATTTAGATATTGTTTAAGTATATTCGCCATGAACGACCTTCCCTGATCTGGATTTTTTGTGCACCCCTTTTGCTATTTCAAGATAAACAGTCATTGGTATAACATCAGCCCACCCCGATTGTTAATCGACGGGTATTTGCCGAAAATATGTTTATCCTAATACTAAGGTTTGCCAAGCCCTTGACCAATTGATGTAGTTCGAAGCTTTTGCAGTGTTAATGTTGGTTTTACCTTTGACGTTTTATAGAAATAGAGCCTTATATCCTATGTTAGTTATCAATAAGTTTCGTAACTCATTTTATATGACTTGAGAACGCTCTGCCTATGGAAGCAAGAAAGTTATATGCCAGAACCAACAGCACAATGCAAGAAGCATGTAGAATTGTATAGAACAAACGTGTAGTACAACCCTCCTTATAGTCACCCCCCTCTCATATGGGGCAGATTGCAACAAAACCAGACAAAGTGAACATTTTATTATGTGACATAATAATAAATGAGAGGCTGATTATGATGTGGCTGTAAAATTGACCAATGTGACTGATGACATTTTGAAAAGTAATAATAATAATGGTGTTCATTCATAACTCATGGACTTGTTAATTTTAATGTTCCCTTTATCATACCAGAATGTGATAAACATAAACCATAACTATAACAGGATTAATATACACTACCCTCGGAAAAGTATTTGGTCAAGCATTTTTTAAAAATTTCAAGATTGAACATATTAACTAGGCAAAAGAAATTGTTTAAATGAATCTCCTGGTTTTGGCGATTATGAACATATGTTTGTATTTGTGCTACGATGTATAGATAAATTTTGATAAACAAAAGCGTAAACATAATTCAACACAAAACGTAAACAATTTGATTGCATTCGACATGGGAAAAGATCGTGAATTAAATGAGGTTGAACGTGGACAAATTATTGGTTTACAGATGGCTGGAAAGTTATAGCTCGTGTTCATAAAGCACTGTTACATATACAATTGCCTGACATAAGATCTTTATGAACTTGAAAAAGTACTACAAGAAGAATGGAGAAAAATTCCACCTGAAACTTATACTAAACTTATTGAAAGCATGCCACATAGAATTGAAGCATGCATTAGGAATCAAGGATGGCCCACAGAATATTAAATGTCATGTTTGTGTTAAAAAATTAAATAAATAAATTATTTCTTTGCCATTCGACTGCTTTTTGTTCATCTCTTTCCACTCCAGGCATTTTGGTTTACTCCTAAAATTTGGTGACCAAATACTTTTCCGAGGGTAGTGTATGTGACATGTGGCAACATTTTCGGAACGGCTTACAGTATAATGTTCGTAATAGTAAGGAAGAAGAAGCAAAAGATTTATTGAAAAATACAAAGAACATTTAGTTAAGGCTAAATTAGAAAGAAATTATTATACCAAAAATATGAAATTAGCCGAACAACAGAGAAATTGGTAGATGAGCATTTTGTAAAGCTGATTATTATAGCATTGATGCTACTGCTCATTATAGCCAAGTTCTTTCAATCTCCTTCCCACAGTCATATGTGATACAGGCTCTCCATCCTTGGACAATTTGGTGGCCAGAGTATGCAAAGTCAAAGAACTATCTTTACGAATGTATTGCCCAAGCCTATGAGATCTTGCTGGTCCTATCTTTTTTGGATGGCCATTGCCCCTTTTATGCAAAATATTCCCAGTTTCTTTTATTTTTTTAATGTTATACTTGATTGTTGATAAAGGAATGTCAGTTAATTGGTGAAGTTTCTTTGGGGAGTGTACTCCTTGTTTCCAAAAATGAAGAATGGTTGAACATTGAATATTGTGCTTGTTTGAAGACATTTTTTTGCAATAATAAAATTAAGACAAAATGGTGGTTTAAGACATGTTTTATAGCAAACAACTAGAATAATTGTTTACAAAAAATTGAACGCGATTTGTTTATTTATTTGTGAAGCTACGCGCTTTTAAATTTTATATGTATAGAGGTCAATTTTTTTTGTTACACACTGTATTTCGGTGCATAGAGCGTACTTCGATTATCATCACTTTTTTTTGTTTATAAAATGTCTTCTTTGTTCAGTCTCGTTGCGAGGTTTTCTCGCCCTGCCGTGCATACTCTCCGACCAAGACTCTTTTCCCTAACTTCGCAACAAAGAAACAAAAAAGCTGAGCCTACAACCTCATCTATCTACAACCTCCCTCCCTCCGCATCTAAGTTTAAGATGCGAGATATTGACCTACTGAGAGTGGGCTTCAAACCAGCTTCAAGCGAGAACGCTGTTATACCCGATGTTGAAAGTGAGACCTATATTGTATTAGCAATTCTTTTAGCAAACCTAACACTTGGAATTTAAATATTTTTCCAGACACCAACTTTCCAGAGATTTATGTTTTTCCTGGTATCAATAGACATATACTTGGAAATCCAGATTTCGATGTTGAAAATATTGAAGGACTCACGGATAAGCGTGTTCGAACATTCTTTATGAAATTGCATAACGTCGTGATGAATGGTATAGGCACCAACGGAACTTTTACTGATACACTTGTGGATAATCTGATTCGTATCGCTGAGTTGGATGACTGGCCCTTAATAATCAGGTGAGTAACTTCTGTTTGTAATAAATTCAATGGTTTCTAAAGTTGCATTTTCAAAATCCAGAAATCAACCGCTATGCAAGCTATACATTGAAGATGATCCTTACGTGTCATCAAACCCCGAATTTGTAGTAGGGAAGCGAAAACTTGCTGTTCTTGTGGTAGATGTCTGTGTATTGTTAACCGTTTGACAGGCTATTATTTTCATCGGCTCAGCCACTGGATTTGGAGAATCACAGATTGCTGTAGAAATTCTCGCTTGTGGTAGTGAGAATATACGTTCCCTTGGCTCGGAGGAACACACAGATCAGATATTATGGGCCATTCGCGTCATCTCTTTATATGTTACGTTTTATAAAGCTGTGATTCCTGTAACGTATTGGATGGAACTCGAAAACGGCCTACCGAAAAAACAGAAAGTTGAGGTTGAAAGATGGCCAATCAAGAATGGCTTGAAGACTGGTTTCGATCTCGCTGAACCGGACGGCAGACGGGCAGTATTGACAGCATTGGTCAAAAT